AGTGGTATATATTCGTGATTAGATAAAGAAGCATTTACAAAGGAGTTGGGACGGTCCAAGACATTTTGCCACCTGAGAGAGAGCAAGATCCGTCCCACCTTTGCCTAAATAAAGGGCAAATTATTTTGGCACCCAAGAATGAGATTCCACCCATGTGCCTTCTGTTCCCATGGGGGGGGGGCGGCGGCTAGGAAGCCATTCCTCTTGGTGGTGCATTTTCAGAGTTTTTGGAAGGCCATGTGGCCATGACTTCCCTTCTCAAGCATTGATGCTCCATTGAAAACACAGCCAAGTGAGTGCAGGCATACACATCCTTTCTTCTGCCACGCCGGGGGTGGGGGGGATCCAGGAGATTCCCCTCTACTTCCTCCCTGACCCCCTTGTACCAACCGGGCCCCATCAGCTATCCCACGGATGGCATGTAGTGATGGTAGGCTTGCCACTGGCAATCGTGCGGCTATAAATATTGTAAATAAATAAATAATAAATAAGGCAGTGCTGGGCCAGGTGAACTGGTGGTTTAATTCTTCCTACAGCTGGCGAGAGGTGAGTGAATCTGGGGTACCCGTGGATTGAGAGCTGGAGTCGGATACTACCAAAAAGTAACTCGAGCGTTAGTCTCAGTCAGTGCTTCAGAAACAGTCCTATGTTATTGATGGCTCTTCTTTCTTGAACCTACCTGACAGGGTTGTTGTGAGAATAAATGGTTTGGGAAAAGGACCTCGTGACCTACCTGGTGTGCTTTAGATGTATTACCTCTGAAACGGTCATATATTACTGGAGTTTCCAACATTTTATTTCTACTTTTAAAAAAACTTTTAAAAACCAACCGCCAAGTCACTGCCCAGAAACCTATAACTTTTTAGATCAGATGTTTGTTTTTTAAAAGATTTGTGGTCCCGTCCCTCCCCCCAAATTGTCCCTTAAAGAAATATGTAACAGAACACGCTGCTTTCAATGTGTTGTTTCTAAGCTCTGCATTTTGTCCACACACTTTTGTCTCTTAGTCCATTGTTCTCTACTGGTGTGTGTTAAAACTACAGACCAGAAACAGTGATTGTAGCCATAGCATTAGACCTTGTGGTCATAGCATTGAATAGAACTCGTCTGATCTGAAATTTCCACCCAGCCTGAAAGCTCTCTGGAAGCACTTTGCCCCTCTTTCTTGAACCTACCTCACAGGGTTGTTGTGAGGATTCGTGGGCTGGGGAGGGGACTTGTGTGTCTTGGGGCAAACAACTTAAGATGTAAATGTACTGCATAAATAAAACTCAGTTGTCTGTATTCAAAAGACTTCTCTGTCATTTCTGATCACTAATCTTTTCTTCTATGTGGTTCTGCAGTTTCACAGAGCCCTGCTTGAAACCATTGTTTCAAAAGGTGGCTGAGAATGATCAGAGCCAGTAGGGTGAAGAGTATAATGGATAGACCATGACTTGTGGGATCTGGGTCCAAAACCAACCCGGCCATAAATTTTGCCTAAATAAAGGGCAAAAACAGCCCTCCCTCATTCTTTCATTCAGCCTAACTGATCTCAGAGTCATTGTGTTGTGAGTGAAGGTTGTTTATTGTATGCAGCCTTGAGTTAACCTGGTGTAAAGTTGTGGAAATGAGTGTTATGATTAATCCCTCTCTACCCTTTAGCATCTCTTGTTCCAAGTTTAGATTACTTTCCAAAGAACCATCACTTCTGTTGCCGTTACCAACTGCTGGATACGATGCTGCTGCAACCACTGAGCATTGTGTTAATTTACTCCACAACCGTTTCATCTCGCCCTGTTTAAAAGCCAAAGATAAGATTCTTGTTTGGTGTGAAACCATGGTGAGAAAATGCAATGGTTATACAATAGATCATGTTAAGAAAGGGAAGGATACCTGGACAGCTCCGCGTCCTAAGGATCGGTAAGAATTTGGCTTCCATTCATTTTTTAAAAAGCAGGGAGAGCGAAACCCTGGAGAAAGCCAGCCCTGGTGACAGCAGTCATTGGAGACAACGGCAAAGGATGCAGACAGGACTTCGCCAGGGAAACGGACAATGCTGTTGTGTGTTCAGCGTGCAGGAGGTTGGATTTGAACGGCAAGTCTTCCAAAATCACAGTATTTGCAGAGGCCGTGTGATTTAGGTGCACAATGTACGCAAAGTCATGAAGAAATTTAGAAGCTAAATCAGTTTGCTTCTGCCTTCTCTGTTTACACAGTTTAAAATGCAGGTCACACATGCCTGTTTATTTAAATGTTTGCATGACAAAGCTGCCTTCTTTACCCCTGGGAGGTTGGCAGATACGGGCTCTCTGGCATTCCTCAGGGTCAGAGCAAAGGTAAAAGCCATCTGTTTTGATCTGTTGCAAAAGCTTAGGCCAAATAATAAGAAGGTTGGGGCTTACTGTGGAGTCTGTTCTTGACATGTTCAACCCCAAGCAGTCTTGGCCACATCTGGTGACAACTTGACTGTAGCAATGTGCCAGATCCAGTCCCCAACACTAATGGGTGAAAACTCTTATTGTTTTAAGAGGCCTTTGGAATTCTATGAGATCCTCGTGGTTCCAGGAAGTGGTTATTGTTTTGATTTACTGTCCAGGTTTCTTTTTCTTTTGATATTCGGGGTTTAATGTACTTTTGGGATCTCACTATTTCTGCCTTATGACTCTTATGACTAGGAATGGGCAGCTGAGGTTTGGTTTTAAATGTTGGTTAGCTGGCCAGAGTAATGCCTCGGTACTAGATGGGCGAAGTGTAAATGTAATGAATAAAATAAATAAAAACTAGTAGGGTCCTCTTATAAAAATTCCTGTGTATTCCACTAGATCTTATCCAGAGCTTAAAATACAAAAAAAGCTTTAAGCTTCGCCTTTGCAATGACAAAGTTAGCTTTGTGGCTGCTGCAGACAATCACGTAATTAGAGGGAGGAGGTTGTAAGCCAAAACAGCAATTTTCACCACTCCAGATTACTGAAATGAAACTCCTGCGAGCCCTGGCCAGTAATAGTCAGCGACGAAGGATGATGGGTATTCTTGTTCCATAACATTTGGAGCACTTTAAATTCCTTCAGCCTATTGTAGGCTGTCTAGTCAACTGCTAAAGCAACGATGTGAGTTACTTTGGGGCTCAGTAATCCATTGAAGCTACGTATTTCTTTTATTTAAATTAACACGTTAAGGTTATTTGCTAATAATCTATTACATATTACAAAACAGACAATTAAAAAAAAAAACAAATGATGTCCATAGAAATCTCTCAGAGACCCTCCTCCTGCAAAGTAATGTGTGAAACCTTTTTCATCAGTTAAAACAGTAATCTTCTGCCTCTGTAGTGCTGAAAACTGACTTTAGTAAGGGGGGGGAAAGGCAAGGAGTAAATAATAATAACAATATTTTTAATGAGTCACTTCTACCCTCTGGATATAGTCCAACCCTGGGGGTACAAATTGCTTCCGCCTCCTAGGGCTGACTTTCCCGTTTCAGGTCTATCTTTGTGTCTCCAGATTTCACGGACATAAGTGCAAAATCAAAAAAGGCGTACAGTATCTGTTTGGCTTTCCAGTCCAGTGACTTCAGAAACTTAAAACACCAGTTTGGATCTAGGGAAGTACCAAATAGGGCCTGGTTTGCTCTGGAATGAATCGGGATACATTTGGAAGCCCTTCATTTGGCCTACAAACAGAATTGAGGCATCCAGGAACTGCAAACCCTCTCCTTAAAGACTTCTACTGGGGGAAGAGCCTACACCCTTGCACACATTGCTTCCATTCATGGAATGCTTTCATCCTCAAGAAGTTTCTCCTGTTACCTTTTTTTTTAAAACCAAATTCTAATCTCCTGTAATTTACTCAAGCTCGTTGGGTCTAGTCCAGTTCTCTGGACCAGCAGAGAATACATCTCCTGTGTCACCCCCATCCTTGCTCTTACAATAATGCTTCATGGACTACCTTCAAAGGCATATGGCTAATGCAAATAACTCATCTTTCTTTCTCAGTTTCCCTCCTACGTGGCTGAGCTATGGCAGGAGACCCACTTCCCCACCTGCTTCCATTAGACAATAAACCTGTGCTGTGTTCTCCAAACTTCAGAACATTAGAATCTAAAAACAAGCATTTGCGTGTTCACAGGGAAGCTTACTGTGGCAAACTATTCGGTCATCATCCTCTCATTTGCTATCATGTCCCTTGACCCTTGACCCCCCTCTTCAGGCCTGGGTCAGGGAAGCTGAAATGTGAGTAGCCTTGCAAATACAAGTTACTGATCCATGGTGCTTCTGCCAGCTATCTCATAAATGGATGATGGCTTAAAAAGAGCACACTCTTATGACAAATCAGAATTCAGAAGCATGTGTCGCTTCTGATACTCGACAAAGTTTGTTGCTTGAATTCAGAGCAGCCTATTCCCTGATTTCTCAGTGTTCCTTAGCGGCACCTTTCATAGCACTGTGTTATTGTCTCCCCACCCCCATATTAAATCAACGTTTTCAAGTGTGCAAAAGTGCGTTGGGGGTGATAAACCTGTTTGAGACCAGATTAACCGAAAGACCACCTCCTACCACATCAGTCTAGTGAGACCTTAATATCTTCCCTTTTGCTCCCACCACCATCCAGAGTTGCATGACTGCTGTTGTTGGGAAGGGCCTTCTTAAGAGTCTTCTCTGAAAAAGCTCAACTGTTACCTATTCTGAACTCTCTTTGACATCCATTGAAGGGAAAATGTTGCTTAACTCTTTTGCCTAGGTACTCCAGCACACTGGAGCGTTGACCGCAACGATTTATCCCCTTGATGATACAGCCCTGCTTGTCTTTCTGGTTGTACTGTGGAATTATGTGGTTTTTATACTTTGAATTTCACTTGACCCATTTTGCAGAAGGATGCTCAGAAATGCCGTTACCAAAATACCCTGATTTAGAACAACTGGTGCTGAACAGAGTGAGACCAACACCTGCAAAGAAGGAAAGGGACACAGCATCTTAATTGTCTAAATTATTTTATTTGTGGCAGATTGTCTAGTTAGCAACCCCCCACCCACCCTCCCAAAACAACTGAAAATCCAAAGTGAACTGTAAATTATCCCATAGTGGATGCAATCCCTCTCTGGATAATTTTAAAAAGTATTTTAAAATAAGCTTCTAATCACATATTACTTATCTGCATTTGGACATCAACTACTAATTTGTGTTTTCAAAATCCAACATGAAACAATAAACTCTTCTCTGGGAAATGGTCAAGTCCATCTCTCTTGAGATTTATTTTTAACAAAGAAGAAACAAAAAGCACAAAAGAAAAAGCTGCTGCATTGCCAAACAATGTTTGAGTCACATGTTTTCCGCCATCATTAAGTGCTTGGCTTCATGAAGTGATATCACCGAAAAAAGGGTGTGGGTTTGTTCTGCAGACACCAGACATGTTCACAAAGGAAACCTTGATGCAACGTTAATTCCACAGGATGTAGGATTAAGGCCCCCCCAGATTTGGGGGTTGCTGGTTTAGTGCTTTGAAATCAATACATTGCTGTCTCAGAAGGAATTAAAAGTTGTCCATTAGAGGAGATGGTAACACTCTCAGTTCGGATAGCTTTTGGAACAGCTTTGACTTTTCTGTTCTTGTCGGCCATCTTCAAATCCCCCAGTAAGGCACAAAGGTTCTCCTCTCCCTCAAATAAACGTCTGGCATCATGCCATAAGCAGTCTGTACCATTTTGACGGTGTTCCTCCCATAAAGCTCCCGTTCGTATTGGATGAGCTGACGCCAGAAACCAACATTGGGGTGGATGACCGGGCGTCTCGATTTCACCCAGTTGTAAGCTTCGTAGAGGGTGACGTTCTGATATTTCATCAGGTAGGCGATGCAGAGGGTGGCCGATCGGCTCACGCCAGCGGCGCAGTGTACCAGCGTGACCCCGTGCTTCCGCGCCACGCTTTGGATCTTGTCAGCCACGCTGTCAAAATAAAGTGAGATAGGGGCATTGGGCATGTCAGCCACAGGCACTTTGAAGTACTCGAACTCGGGGTAGTTGAGATTGGGGAGCTCAATCGTGGCGTTGATGATGCACGTGATCCCACGGGCTAAGAGCAGCTGCCGGTTGGAGGCGACGCTTCCCTTACTCAGGTACAGGAAGGGGGTAATTTGGGCAATGCCGCCCATCGTCCCGTCTGAATACAAGCGAGGGGTCATTAGAGTTCGTGGCAAAGAATAGTGTCTTCGGGCAGTCATAGGGAGATAGATCCTGGTTGCTCCTAAGATGCCATACTAGGTGTGCAAGCCTAGATTAATATTCAGCAGAGCGCAGTCTGCTTTGTCACTTCGCCTGCAAAATACAAAAAACAGCAGTTGGAAAACGTGTTTGTACACTAAAGAAAGCCATCAGAGCGTCTCCTGGAAGTGAAAGCACCAATGCATGCTAAACGTTCGATTTACTCACAGTTCTGAACAGATCAAAATAAACAGCATTATGTATAAAAATAATGCCTGATTACATGAACAGAACTCAACTGACTAGCTTCATGACTGATTTCCTCCATGGCTAGCAGACTTCTGGCAGGGGGTAAAATGGGGAGGGAAAGAACTCTTGAGTAGAGAGGCGGGTCTTGGTCAAAATTCTGGGGCAGAGAGGGAACGATTGGTTGCTGCAGGATTAATTGGCAGCTGCCCCAGCCCAGAGAGGTCCCCCTCAGCCAAAACCTCTGAAAGGCGGCCTAAGCAGGTTGCTAAATCCCAACACAACCTCCCTCACGGCTGTCATGTTGTTCTGAGGCAAGGAAGCGTTTATAAGGACAGCCCGACTCAATTTTATTTTTCGCCTGTCTGAGGCGAAGCACCAAAGCAAGGGGAAGCACCAAAGCGTGTGCGTGTGCACACACACACACAGGTTGTTCTGAGGCAAGGAAGCGTTTATAAGAATAGGCCGACACACTTTATTTTTCACCTGTCTGAGGCGAAGCACCAAAGCGTGCGCACGTGCACACACACACACACACACAGGTGTATACAGCAGCCAAAGCCAGCCAAGTGACTTTCACACCTGAGGCCTAACTGGAAACCTATCCTGGCATTGATGAGGTACCACAAAAAGGGGCAGCCATTTTCCCACAAGGCCTCCGACCACAAGCACCAGGCATTTGGGGAAGAGGGAAGTAAAATGGCTGCCTGTGGAGTCATTGGCTATGAAATGACCAAAAATTTGCTGCCCTTCCTTCAGGCGCCCAGTATCTTCCTCCTGAGGTAACCACCTCACCTTCTCTTTAGAGGCCTGGACAGCCACACAAGGGAAATATTTATTTTTTTGTTTTGTTTATTGGTGGCCTTCCTCCCAAAGGAAGGGGGAGGGAGAGACAAAGTTGGTGGTGGGTTGTATTACATTTCCCAGAATCCCCAGTTGGCGAGCTTGGCTCATGGATGGACCATACTGTAATCCAGAGAGAGAGAAAAAAAAGGGAAAAAAAGCCAATAGATTACCTGCTCCTGGTCATGTAGGCTTTTTCTCTCCAGAGAGAGAGAGAGAGAGAGAACCAAGCCAATAGATTGAATGTTCCTGGTCATGTAGGCTTTTTCTCTCTGGACTAAGTGGCTAGCTGGATTCAGGAGTAGTTATTTCCCCACAAGGTCTCTGACCAAACTAGGCCATTGGAGTGGGGGTTAGAATTCAAAAGGTCACTTCTAAAG